TCTAGATCCATTTAACCAATCATTTCTAAGGACCAGCTCTAGATCCATTTAATCAATCCTTTCTAAGGACCAGCTCTAGATCCATTTAACCAATCTTTTCTAAGGACCAGCTCTATCTATTTAATCAATCATTCCTAAGAACCAGCTTTTGGTTTCCTGACTTATTTCATTGTTTTCCATCTCATTGATAGATGTTCTTATCTTTATAATTCTTCCTGTGTTTAATACACTCTCTTTTTAAAAATTTCTTAAAACAGATGCTTAAATTATTGATTTAAGACCTACTGAAGGGAAAGTTTTCACACATGTCTTTGAGGGGATTGACATTTCTTACCCAAGTACAGAAGTTAGCCTGACCGTAGCTGTGCTTGGTACTGCAAATGCTCGTTCCCCCCAAACTTCAAGTGTCCACTATCTGCCATGTTTCATGGCAGTGCTGATAGGTCATAGAAAACGGAGCTCACGAGCAACTTGCCTGTATTTACTCAGGTGGAGAACCTGAGATTGGAACCCAGTAATCGTCAGAGCGTGAGTTTGTTCTGCGTGTGTTTATTGAGCTCTTGGTCAGTGCCAGCACCGTGTGCCATCCCTCAGCTGACACGCTGAATGAAAGCTGTCTGATTATAGAACTCTCAGTCTTCTGGAGGGAACAGACAGAAAATACAATCACGCTAATCTGATCAGTGACATCAAGAAAGCATTTCTGCAATGTTTACACAATCCTTTGCTTCCTAGGTCTCCTTCAATGTCGCCGATCGCTCAACAGGGAAAATTGTGGACAAATCCTTGCTTTTCAACATAAGAATCCAGGATGTAAATGATCACGCACCCCAGTTTCCTCAGCAGGAATTTAACATCAGTGTGAAGGAGAACCAACCTGCAGGTGTGTGTGGTGGGGACCGCGGTGGGGGGTACAGGGCTTCCTTCTGCTCTGCTCCATCCTGCTGCTTTGATTCCGAAGAGGGCTGTGATCCTAGCTGTTTTGGGAGTGGGGGGTTACTGTTCTCTCAAAGGTCACAGGCCCTGGATCAGAGTGAAAGGCTTTGAGGTCTGTAAGCTTCAGTTTATATTTGGTGTTAAAATGCTGTGGAAACTGTAAGTTGGAAGAGCTGGTATGTAAATGCCAACCTAAAAATAAAGCCACATACAGTGAGGAAAAGAAAGCAGGGTGGTGAGTTCCTGAATCTCTCTGCAAACTTCTCATCTGTAAAATGGGGACAAGATGACGCGGGACATCTCTGAGTCACACACACTGTGAGTCTTCCCTCTCACCCACTAGGGTATGGACTCATTTTCATAATAGAAAATATTAATTACTGGGCGGTGCCTGTGGCTCAAAAGAGTAGGGCACCAGCTCCATATGCTGAAGGTGGAGGGTTTAAACCCAGCCCTGGCCAAAAACTGCAAAAAAACCCCCGAAACATTAATTATTTTCTAAAATAGACTTTATAAAATTTGGAAAATTCTGAGACACGAGAGACAAATACTATTATTGTTTCAGTTTGTATTATTTCAATATTTTTCTTGGCATTTTATGTTTGTTACATACATACTGTTCGTTATATGTGCATTTATTCACAGATTTTTATTATAATTAAACATATATGACATATAACACATTTTTACATGTACATACATTTCCCACCTCCATCATAGTATAAATGTGTTCATTCACATATTAAATATTCACACATGTTGGGCTGCTTTTTTATGAGTATAAATTTATGAATTTTCTTTTTTAAAAAAATGCAACTTTACAGTTTGCAACTTAACTATTTTCTCCCGTAGCACCCTGTGATATGTCACAGATGGGCTTTAAAGCAGTTAACCGGTCTTCTACTGATGAACAGGCTTATTTTGTGGTCACTTTTCATTTTTATGAAATATGTTTCCATGAACATATTCTATGTCCGAGTCAGGCACTATTTATTGAGCACGAATTCAGGGAAGAAAGCCTGATGGTTCAAGCTGCGCGCTAAGTGCTCTCACCTACGTCTCCACCAGCACCCTGAGGGTGCCCCTGCGCCGCTTGTCTTTGATTATTATGTGCTGGAACTCTTTTATCCACGGTGTTTTTTTTTGTCTATTTTTCTGTTCACGTATTTGTCGTTTTCCTTTGTGATTTTAACCTCCACCTTCTATGTTGAGAATATCCAACATACATTTCAAAATATCATGGGATCTATCAATTTTGCCCTTTCTGTCGTCTGGATTTGCAATCATAATTAAAAAGTTTTTTGACCTTCTAGTTAAACAGTCAATTTAATCATATCAAGTGTGTCTATTATCTGATTTTATATGTAAATATTTCACTCCTTCTGATGTATGCCCCAATGCCATTTAACAAACAATTCATCCTCTTACTGGTTTGATCGGCTACCTTAATGCAGTAGTAACAATAAAAAAAAAATTCTTTCTAGGTCAACCTATTTTTCAGATGTCAACAGTTGATCTGGATCAAAAAAATACTCCAAATTCTCAAGTGCTTTATTTCCTGGTTTCTCAAACGCCATCACCAAAAAAAAGAGTTTTCCGGATTGATCGTCTTAGTGGAGAAATACGGCTCTCGGGATGTTTAGATTATGAGGTTATGTGGATTTTATTATTTAATAAATATGCACGTGTTACCTATCCTTGAGGCCCAGCCTTAGATTCTGTGTTCGCAGTGGGGAACCCTCTGTGGCTAGACTTGCTATTGTAATTGCTAAGAGAATGTTTCTTTATTAATGTTTTCCTCACCTGTGTTTGAAGGGTCTCATTTCCCTTTTTCGTCTCTGTGCAGACTGCGCCTCGGTTTACACTGCTGATCGGAGCCAGGGACTGTGGGGAGCCGTCCTTGTCATCCACGGCCACGGTCCACATTGACGTGAGAGAAGGCAACAAGCACCCGCCTGCATTGACCCAGAAGAGTGTAAGCATCCAGGCTGCCCCAGATTCTACAGCACATGGCCCTGGGGGCTTCGGTTCAGTTTTGCTGGAGGCATCACCCAAGACACAAGCAATTCCCTTAATTTACTTAAGCTAGAATCAAGGAGTCAAACTGCGTTAACATAGAACCTCTCAATATTAATAGCCATGGTCGTGGGGCTTGTGTCTCTGATGCCTTATCCCAGATGCTATGTGAAGAATGTTTGTGCAAATTATTTCATTTTAAATTGTTGAAGCCAACAAGTAAGAAAATTAAGATCTAGGGAAGGTGGAGTATTCTCCGTTCACTTGAAGTCAGGGTTTTCCAACTTTTAACATGGGCCAGAGAATTCTTTGTGTCTTGAGTGTTAGAGGATCACAGGTGGCATCCCTGGCTTCTACCTGCTAGATGCCAGCAGCACCCCCTGGTTGTGACAAGCAAGAATGTCTCCACACGATGTCAATGTCCCCTGGGAAGCAGAAGCCCCCTTGGCTGAGAGGTCTAGACCTGAGCTTTGCACACTGTTCAGGATTCTGAGGAATGATGAGCAGGCGGGCTTCGGCCTGGCCCTCCCCACCTCGCCTGACTCACGGGCTGGGGCTCCACCTGGATTTCACGGGAAGCAGATTCTCAGGCTTTACGGAAGGGTTAAAAACCACTGGGTAAGACTCAGTTGGAAACAACATACCATTCTCAGGATCTGTTCCCAACTTTTTTAGTTTTTACTCTTCTATATTATATATGTATTTTAAAAAGTCAATATCCATTACATTTCCCTGTTTCTCCTGGACGCCCTGAGAGGCCTTTCTTTTGTTAACTACCAGTTAAATAGTCATGTTCCCCCTCCCTTCCTGGGGCACATTCTAGCCCCTTTGTGTTTCCTTCCTCTTCCTGATCTCCTGTCTAATGAATTAATTTGTTTCCTTTATTGCCTAAGTGCCCCCTGCCCCCAGGCCACACACACACACACACACACACACACACACACACACTTAACTGGCAGCTCCCTGAGTGAGGCTGGACTCATTGCCCGTCCACAGCATCTGAAATAGGTTCTGCACATAGTAGCTTTTGCTCAATCAATGATGCAAAGAATTATCTTTGAAAGATGTTATTTAAAAGAAAAATATTGCATAAACCAAAGTGAACAATTCTCAAATGAAAGCACTTCACTGGTGCTTTGCAGATTTTGTAATATCTGCAAAATAATATTATGTTTGCACCTTGCTTCAAAATCCTTCCCTGGCTGGATGAAAAGCGGAGCTCGCAAACGTAAGGCCAGACCCTGTGACTTGGGCGGGCTTGTCTAGATACACTGTCACCAGCAAACACTGAGTAACAAGCTAAAGATCTGCATTTGTTAGAAAAAAGATCACCTCAATCTAAATAACCAGAAGTGTCCTGTTTTAGGAGAAGAATTAGGATTTTTAGAGGCTACAAACTAGGACGTATGCTACTATTTTAAAAATCCTTAGAAAAATTGCACATTGAGTTGGATTTAAGAGTGCTTTTGCAATGATTCAGCTGTAGACAATAGATCGGGGTAGGAGGTACGAGATGTTCCTGTTCCTTTCTGATGCTCCTGCTGTCGGAGCAGCAGAATTTCAGGTTCCAAAAGGTCAATTCCAATAGCAGGAAAACGCTCCAGGCCACAGGGCATTGTGTTGAGGACTTTTGTGTTCTTCCCCTCGCTCCTCCCTCATTCCATTTCTTTGTCTCCAAGACACGGAAATGACAAATGACGATTGCCTCTTTCAGTATAACATTCAGATCTCTGAAGGTCAAGTCGTCCAGGGCCTGCTGCATCTCCCGGTTCAGGATCGTGATTCACCACTGACATCAGCTTGGAGAGCACAGTTCAACATAGCACGTGGCAATGAAGAGGGAAATTTTGACATTCGGACCGACCCTGAGGCCAATGAAGGGATTTTAAATGTTGTCAAGGTAAAGCCATAATGTGGTGGTGGTAGATGCTGAGCCCCTATCTGTGGAATAAGGAATAATGACTGGGGACTAACATCTCGTGATGCTCCCGCTGTGTGCTGAGCCCCTCACACAGCAGGTGTCGCTTCCTGAGGAAGGCAGGGCTGCATTGCCACTTCTGTGCATGGGCCGAGGGCTCCCCTTACCAAAATATTATCAATATCAAAAATTATTTGTTCCATGACCTAAAGATTTCACCATTTGTTTTGTTTTAGGCAAAATGTAATAGATTGCTGGGTATGGTGGCTTACCCTATACCCCCCAAATACTGGGAGGCCGAGGCAGGTGGATCACTGGAGCTCAGGAGTTTGAGGCCAGCCTGAGCAAGAGTGAGAGCTCATCTCTGCTAACAATAGAAAACTAGCCTGTGTGGTGGTGGGTGCCCGTAGTCCCAGATACTGGGGAGGATGAAGCAAGTGGTTCACTCAAGCCCAAGAGTTGGAGGTTACTGTGAGCTCAACAGTATCACTGTTTGAGGTTACAGTGATGCCATGGCACTCTACCCTGGGTGACAGAGTGAGACTCTGTCTTGAAAAAAAAAAGAAAGAAAAAGAAAAGTAATAGATTTACATCAGCTTTAACATGTTTATTTTTTTCTGAGTGATTAAACAAATGAACATGTTTTACTCAACCCTAGTTCTTCTTTTCTTCTTGTGAGTTTTAAGTGTTTACAGTGTTTAAAGTTTAAAGCAGTGAAAGCATTTGTGTGCCTTTAACAGTATGGTGAACTCCTGGCAGAAGCCGGCCTGGAGGACAGTGTTAGTAATTCCTATTACTGATAAGCAAACCAGAGCCCAGAGAGGTTAGACCCTTTACACAAAGTCACACTGCTCGAGAGTGGTGGAGGGGAGATTCTGACGGGGCAGTCTGGCCCGAGTTTCATAGCTCTCAGCCAGACCAGGGATGAGTAGCCCAGGAGAGTGCTGGGGAAAGGCACGGGAGAGCCCGCCGAGTATTGAACCAGCCCCCAGGAGACGCTGAAGGCCCACCGACCACACTGTGAACAGCACGGCTCTGAAGCACTACACTAGGTGCCCGCGTGAATTTTCCAAATACGCTCAGCATTTCAATCCTTTCAAGTCACTGACCACTTTGTACACGGAATAACTGTGATCACTAATATCTACATTTCCCTAAGTTCCCCTGACTCTTTGCAGTGCGGTTGTCACATTAATCTTTCATTAAGTTATGGTTTTTGTTACATTTTTCATGACCCTCTGATGGATGGTGGCTCTTTTCCACCAGGAGAGGGGGAGAGAAAAAAAAATAAAAAAGAAAAGAACTCCATAAATGATTTGAAAATGAGCTGAAGACTGCCTTTTGATCATTATCAAAGACGATGTAAATAATACATGAAGTGCAAAAGCCACAGCTCTCAGCCCCACGCTGACTGGGTGCTGCGTTTCCTCTGGCCAAAGGAGCAGCAGGCACTAATGAAATCCTCTCTCTGGCATTCCAGCCTTTGGATTACGAAACTCACCCAGTGCGAAGCCTGGTCATCACCGTGGAGAATGAGGACCCGCTCTTCTCCTGTGAGGGGGGTGAGCTCCGGCAGCCCAGGGTGGCTGTGGCAAGCGCTACTGTGAGTGTGCAGGTGATGGACGCCAATGACCCGCCAGCCTTTCACCCTGAGAGCTTCGTGGTCAGCAAAGAAGAAGGGGCCAGGCCTGGAACCCAGCTGGGGACATTTAATGCTGTGGATCCAGACAAAACAGCAAGCCGGATAAGGTGAGGGTGAGAGACAGGAAAGGCAGCTGTGTCCGTGGACTTGGCCAGGGAATGCTGCTGCAAAACTAGCTCCTCGGACGTGATCATGAGGTGGACGCAGGCTCAGTCACAATATGAGAAGCCACGGGGCGAATGCCCATGGGCCCAGCTTAAATGTTCTTGTTCTGAGCTTTCTCTGACCTGCCAGAAGTCACTTGCTCATTGCCCACCGCACTCCCCATGTGCATCTTTGCTTTTCTTTTCTTCATATTAGAATCATTTGTTTCTATGTTTCTAAATTCTTTTTTACCAGAGGTTATGAACTGACAGCTTCTGGGCAAGACATTTTTTTTTAATTGTGATAAAATACACATAACATGAAATTTATCATCTTAACGATTGTTGGCATTTACCCAAGGCAGTGGCATTAAGTACGTTCACTGTGCTTGTACAACCAACACCACCATCCACCCCCGGGACTCTCTTCATCTTGGGAAACTGAAACTCTGTCCCCATTAAACACTAGGTCCCCATCCGCCTCCCCGGGCCCCGGCGCCCAACCCTCTTCTGTCGGTCTGTGTGAGTCCGACTGTTCCGGGCGCCGTGAGAGCGGAATCCTGCAGCCTCCGCCTCATCTGTCTGCCTCGTTTCCCTTCACGTCCTGACATTTAGGCGGGTTCATTCCCGTGTCAGTCTCCTTTCTTTTCAAGACTGAACATGTATACATTGCACCTATTTTCCGTATTTATTTTGGTCCACTCATCCGTCCATGGGGACTTGGGTTGCTCAGTGGATTGTTTTTAAAAATAAAGTGAGAGATGACATGTACATTTTCTGGACGTTCTTGACGGAGCGAGAGGACTAGGCCTGTTTGGGTCTGTGGTATATGGAGCCGAGATCACAGAGGCAGAGCAGGGGTCGTGTGGCATGCCCCTTCAGGCTGACCCCAGCCGCTGGCCCCGGTCCCTCTGCCTCCGTTAGATTCATGCGTGCTCTTGTGCGTCAATGGTTCCTGGAATTCCCTGAAGTACTCGGGATAGGAATAGTGTTTCTATGATACATTTTAACTTTTCCTTCGGATGTAACTTTTTAGTTTTACAGATTGTGTGTGTTCTCCTCCCACAAGGTATAAACTGGTTCATGACCCAGCACATTGGGTTGTCGTAGATGAGAACTCGGGAGCTGTCACCACCACGCAGCCGATTGACCGAGAGTCCCCTCACGTAAATGACAGCTTTTACACAGTCATCGTTCATGCTGTCGACGATGGTGAGTGTTTACCCAAAGTTTGGGGTGGGGAGGATACTCATTTTTTCTTTCTGAGGGAAAATGACACCAGTGAGTCTTTTAGCACAACTGAGAAAAATGTAAAATAAACCTTGTTATCACTTTGCATCCACGCTGGGGATTATTTCTGATCGTAATTCTCCAAATGGTTGACTAGGGACCGATACCATCAAAAGAGGCCAGAATTCATTCAGAAGGGACAATCAGGCAGCCGGGAGGCTGCGATCAAACCGGGCACCTTTGTCATCTGTTCACAAGAGAACGCTTAGCTCCTTGTTGAAGCCGATGATGTGTGATACATATTTAGCACAGCTTGCCTCTACTTTGGGGGCTTATGAGCTCAGGTAAATGTGACTGGATGGTACAAATGTGTCATAAACCAGGATGGGGGATTTCATCAGCATGTTTCAGTACTTCTCTCTACAGTCTCCCAAGGATCAGTTTTTGGACACACCAAAACAAATTTGAATAATTGAAAAAATTCAAGTAACTCTAAAATTGCATTTAAGAAAGTCTGTGGGCTGAAAGCCAGGTCCCAAGCGATATGCAACTGTACATCCTACTTGTGTAATTAACTAGCTGAATGTTGGTTATGCAGGTCTGAAATGTGTTCCTAATCGATATTATGGGAGGAGAAAGAAAGGGGGGCTGATGTTCCCGGGTCCTCTGACTCTGTGATGGATGGTCTCGTAATTGGCATTTTTTATTAGAAAAATTTTTTAGATACTTATAGATTCACATATGGTTTTAAGAAACAGTGGAGTGGATTCTGAGTACCTTTGCCCAGTTTCCCTCCATGGAAGCACCGTGCAAAACTGTGGTGCAACGTCACAGGCAGATGCAGCTGAGGACCAGAATCTTCCATCCCACAAGGACCCCTCGTGTCACCCTTTAATTGTCACACCCCCTTCCCTTCCACCTCAACACCAGGCACGACTGACCTTTTAATGCATTTAATTATGCCGCTTTCTCCCTCCTTCTATAAATGACTTGAGGTGACAAGTGTATTTAATAAAAGCAGGAAAACCGACCAAGTTCATGCCAATAGGGCTTATGAATCTGAAAGGGAGCTGGTCCCGATGTGTCAGTGGAATCTTTCCTTCTTGAGCGATGGAGGGCACTCTATCCCAGGCCTCTGTGCACACAGAACTTCTTTAATTTAATCAACTCCTCCTGGCACGCTCTCCCTTTACAAGGCCTCCCACCACAGACCGGCACAGGGACCCTAATGCTCTTCCTGTCTGACATCAATGACAACGCCCCAACTCTCCGGCCCCGTTCCCGCCACATGGAGGTGTGTGAGTCTGCAAGGAACAGGTCCCTCCTTGTTGAAGCAGAGGATCCCGACCTGGAGCCCTACTCTGCCCCGTTCACATTTGAGTTGGACAACACCTGGGGAAATGCAGAGGACACATGGAAATTGGGGACAAATTGGGGTGAGTGTATTGGCCATGGGTAGAGGGTAGAAAATGGCAGAAACCTAATTCAGACAGATTTAGGTAAAAAAGGAATTTCTTAGCTTAATTGTAACAGAACACTTGTGGGATGAGTCTGCATCCTGATAGAGCAGGGTCTGGGCTCTCAGAGGACACCCCTGGGATAGCTTTCTTCTCAGAGGGTCAAGTGGCTCTCAGGGGTCCCTGGGACACATCCTACAACCTGCGGCTTCCAGGATATGCTCTAGGACACATGTCCCTGCTTGGCCTGGGTCACCTGCCCTGCCAATCCTGGGGGTTTATAAGCTGGAGGGAAGACATGCTGGTTGGCTGGACTTCATTGGAGGCTAGGCTTAGCTCCCCAGTCCACACAGGCTGAGAATTTGGGAAGTGTGGGCTCTCCTGAGGAAAGGTGGAGTGTTGTTCCCAGAGTGGGAACCAAGGCCGGGCAGGCTGAGAGCAGCTGGCACACTGTGGGTGCTGCTGTCTTGCTTCTATCAGCCAGTCTGTCGTGTACAGACACTTGAAGCTGAGACTGTGTCCTAGACCCAGGGCCGGCAGCAGGTCATCCCACCTGCCCCAGAGGAGGTCTGGTCTTTGCCCTAAGTTTCTAACAGGATGCGGAAAGGGAGCTCTCTGAGCCCTTGGGATGTCATGGCTGATACAAGAGCCTCCGTTTACCTGGGTGTCTTGGGAGGGTGGGGACTTTTGGTCACACAATTGCAGTTGACCATGGGGGTAGCTGAAGCCTCAGGGAACCATGCAGGAGGCCAGCCAGGTTCACTGACTCATCTCCAGTGAGGACTCTGGCCCCCAAGGCTGAGGTCCACCTCCCAGGTGGCACTGCTCCCTGGGTGCCGTCACAGATGCACACTCCTGGGGAAAGTGCCGCCCCACCTTCCTGGAGAGGAGGGGGGAGCTCTATGCGTGGGGCTCCTCTGGAGTCTGCCGTAGGCTTCTGTCCCTGCCTGGTTTTGCTCTGCCTCCTCTCCCTGTAGTAAACGGTTACCATTGGTCTAACAGCTTCCAGTGAGTTCCAGGCATCCTTGTCAAGAGTCGTGGAACCTGCAGGTGGTCTTGGGAACCCCTGAACTTGCAGCAGGTGTCAGAAGTGAGGGTGGTCTTGAGGACCTCCCCTCGAGCTATACAGGTGGCTACCTTCTCCTGGGAGCCATGACCCCTGGAGAACACTGAGTCGGTGGGAGCTGACGAGGTGAACAAGTAAGTGAGCCCGTGTGTGCAGCTCTTCTCCTTGTGCAGGTCGGTCAGTGGAACTTGCTATGTTGAGAAGCCTCCCACCTGGGGACTACGCAGTGCCGCTCGTCATTGGAGACAGACAGGGCGTCTCCCAGAAGCAGACGGTCCATGTGAGGCTCTGCTCCTGCCTCGGTGGGGTCACCTGTGTGGAGCCCTCAGGTGTAAGAGCAGAGTCCTTCGCCTGGGTCCTGCCCGCTGCCTGTGCAGGGTTCATGGCTCTGGCAGGTGAGCAGTCGGTAGGGGATGTTATGGTCTGTGTCCCCTTTCATCAGGCCCTAGGCAAGGGTTATGGGGTTTGCTGGGGTGGGCGGCAGGTGTTGGCAGGAATTCAGGGGAGGCTTTTGGGGAGGCTTTTGAGAAGGAGCCCTGGGCGTGCTTAGGCTTCTGGACTCAGACAGAGGACTGTTGCCCGGGCCAGATAGGGTGACTGACTACAAAAACAGCTTCTACTCAACAAGCAGTAATTTGAACAGTGGAACCAATGGGTGGCACAAAGGGTGGCGTGTGTTTGTAACAACCACAGGGACAGCACTGTCAGATGTCTAGGCTCCTGGCCTTGGCAAGGCTAATGAGGAAGCTAGTTTTTCCAAGAAATAATAATTTTCAAGCCAGGTATAATTAATTAATTCAACAGTTATCTAGCACCTGCTCGTGCCCCAAACTGAGCTTGTTCTGTAGCTGCCCAGATGATCAGGACACTTTGGTCATGTCCATTCACAGCTACATTGTAAGGTCACAGAACATGATCCTCTTGAAAGCTCTGCAGGGGTGAACTGGCCAGCCTTGTCCCCTTTGTCCCATTACAGTGGCCCTGATGCTTCTGCTGCGATGCTACTTTGCTTCTGAACCCAAGAGGCCCAGATTCTCCATCCCCAGTGACGAAGGCCACCAGACTCTGATCCTGTATAACGAGGAGAGCCAGGCCAGCCCAGCCCAGGTGGGAACGTGATGCCTGCGTCGACGTCTATGAAGTCAGCAGCACATGGGCACGTAGCACGGGGCCACACAGCACAAACTTTCCCGCCAATGTACCCCCCTCCCTTATCTCTTTACTCTAACTCATATTTGAGTGACAGGTCAGAAATACATCCGGCAAAAACTGACCAACTCCACTAAATGGATTTACATTTTTTCAGATCAGTGGTTGTCAACCATGGGCAATTTTGTTCTCCAGGGGGATATTGGCAAGGGCTGGAGACAATTTTGATTGTCACGACTAGGGGTGCTGCTGGCATCTAGGGCATGGAGGCTCAGGATGGTGTTAAACACCCTTTGACACATGAGATATCCACACAGACTCCTGAGCCACTGTTGGCAGTGCTGAGGTCAAGGAACCTGGCTTAGGGGAAGAAAGATCTTTGCCAGGTGGAGGTTTGTTCAGTGGAACTGGGTTATGCTCGCTAGGTACCTGGGTCTGACCTGGCTTCTGGGCGGTGGCCTGTGGTAGAGCTGGCAGGAGGCTTACTGGTCTTGCAGGGCCAAGGCCTGGGCTGTGTTTCTGCCTTTGCATCTTTTTGGCTTGGTCAAGTGGAGAGAGCCATTCAACCCCACAGCTTTGTCTGTGAGCTGGATGGTAAATCAGCAGAGCAGCCAGACTGTGGGTCCCAGACGATGCCTGTGAAATCACCTGTCACTTAGCCCGCCAACACAGTGGTGGGCCAGTGACCGCTGATTCTTCACACCCGCAGCTTCTGGGAAGGATCTGCCCACTCTCGGTGGTCCTTGTAGCCGCCCCGAGCTGGGGTGGGTGGGGTGAAAGCTCTGTGAGCGCTCCTGTTTGTCTTCACCTCGCACGAAGCGGCTGATGTAAAGAATGAACGCAAAGCAAACTTCCCAGGGAAATGCCGGCTTCTGCACACAGAGGATGTGGTTGCCTCATTTTACACCTCCCCTATGGGCTTGTCCGGGGAGGAAGAGACCGTTGACGAGGGTAAGATACTTTAGGGCAAATTCATGCAATTAACTTTGCTATTATGCTCAGGTAGACAGAGAAAGACTAAAATGTATTTGGAGTTTGAAGAAGTTGGTGCCCGAGTGTGGCTGGCAGGGACCTTCCTGCCTTGGTCTTCCCTGCTAGTGTGAAAGAGGGAGGGAGAGAACAGCCTCACGCCTGCTGTGTGTGCCTGAGCACACGTCTGTGCACTTCTGTGCACGCTGCAGGCCTCTGTGAGCCCTTCCTGGGCTGGGCATGAGAAGGTGAAACATGGTTCAAGCTCTTTAGATCACAGGAGTCCCTGGAAGAAATCCTCTCACCCAACACTGAGAGCCGCAGCTAGGAGTTTGGGTTTGTTTACGCAATTTTAAGAAGGAAACCTTCTTTTTTTTCTTTTTTTTTTTTTTTTTGAGACGGAGCCTCAAGCTATCCCCCTGGGTAGAGTGCCATGGCTTTACAGCTCAGAGCAACCTCCAACTCCTGGGCTCAAGCGAGTCTCCTGCCTCTGCCTCCCAAGTAGCTGGGACCACAGGCGCCCGCCACAACGCCTGGCCATTTTTGGTTGCAGCCATCATTGTTGTTAGGCGGGCCCGGGCTGGGGATTCGAACCCGCCACCTTAGGTGTATGTGGCTGGCGCCTTAGCCGCTTGAGCCACAGGCGCCAAGCCAAGAAGGAAACCTTCTTAACAGTTTCTGTGTGGTGGATAGAGTCCCCTCCCGTACTTCCCCTGGCTCTGAGGCTCAGCCCTGGAGGAAGACAGAGATGGCCCTGGGCTGGGGGCTCTGCCTCAGCCTCCTTCTTGGTGAGATGAGCAAGCCCTCCTGAGCAGGGAGGAGCCCCTGCGTTTCCACTCTATGGCTCAAGGCATGGGGATGCCCCGGGGGCTTTTCTCCTGGGGCAGGTTTGTGGTTTTCTTTTAGGAAAGAGAAAGGAGCTCCAGAAGCCTGTAGATAAAGAGACTTTGGTCTTCCTGAGACTGAGACCAGGAAGGTTGGAGGAGTTGACAGGGACCAGCACTGTGGGAGGGGCCAGAGCCTCAGCCAGGGCACAGGGCCTCTTCTGTCCTCCTGTCCCAACATATCCTCCCCTGTCTCCCACTCGCAGTGTGGGTCACGTCTCCATTCCTGCCGCTGTAGCTCTAGGGCGCTGAGAACTGGGACCCAGCACAGTTGGGCTTCGATTCCAAACCCGCAGTTTATCAGTTATGCAATCTCATTGAGCCTTGACTTTCTTACATAAAGTTAGATTGATAATATTCCCTCTTAGGTTTAGTGGACAGTTTAATCAAATGGCACATGTAAAGTCCTTAGCATAGGATAGGGCGCTGATGGGCATGCAGTAATTACTAGCCGTCGTTACTAATTAGGTCCTTATAACTATTGGTAAGTAAGGCCGTCTCGTGGAGCACACACGTAATCTGTGTAAACATCTTTGGTGGATATTCCAGCCCACACGTGCATGTTCCACGCCCTTGGCAAGATTCCATCTAAGATGTCACCTTGGTCCCACCCACACTGTCACATTCTGCCACCGAACCACAGGGATGCCACCTGAGATTGGTGCCCGGTGGGACTGCATAGATGCCTTCCCGTGTGTGAGAAGCTAGTGGGCTCTTAGCCAACAGCAATGCAGTACCCATCAATGCCAGAGTCCCTTAGCGAGTAGATTTGTTGAAGGAGAAATGACGGACAGTGCACAGAGCACCTCACAACAGCAGCGACCCCAGGAGCCATCCCCACAAGCTGCTCTTAGATTCTAGGGTCTCCTGGAACAAGCATCTTGTACTGTCACTTCATAAGACACACTAAACAACAGGAATCGCGACCTCCCGGCCAGCAATGACCAGAGACAGACAGAAATAACATTCCTTCTCCAGACGAGCCATCAGATTTTCGGGAGCTGACTGCCACAGTCTGGGTCTTTCCCGCTATGGCATAGATGCAGTGTGGGGGTGGAGGGGGGGAAGCAGCGTGCCTTGCTCTCTGATTTCATTTTTGCCGTCTGTGATGTCAGCCTATCCTATTTTATTCCTTGTCTTCCGTAGACACAGTCAGACGTCACGGGTGGGATGCCAGCTCTGCCAATCCACACGGCCATGGTGGGAGACAAGCTGGGTGCTAAGGTAACAGGTCATTTACTCGCTTCTTGATTTTAAACAGAGAGGTGACTTTGGTGACGGTTTCCATGGCTCTTCCCACCTCCACGTATCCAGTGAGGTCCTTCTCCAAGTCAGCTGTCACCCCGGCCCCCACCTGCAAAGCCCTAACACATCTTCCCGTCTCCGCGGCAGTCTCTTCCTCTTGGCTGCAGAGTCAGACAACTCAGTGCTTCTGGACCCGTCCAGTGACACCTTCACATCTTTTTTGCCATACGCAATGCCACTTGTACTCATGTGCTTTATGACATATTTTTTGTTTAAATGGACTTGTATCCAAATTAGGTACATTTATTTAAATGGGATATTTTATATTTTATAATTTCTATAAATTCAAAACAAGTTTTACTCGTATAAAGAGCAGGCAAGTGTAAAAATAGGCACAATAGAAACACTAGAATAATAATAGAAGTAATAATAGAAGAATAGGGCACAATAGTTCTAGGTAGGTGATGCCACCGACGAAAGCTCAGGCTCTGTGGGAAAGTCACTCTGGAGCTCCAGCCACCCTGCAGCACCACTTTCTCCTGATGTCCTAAAGGTATGGAAAGGAATTAGAAAGAGATGTTTTTCTCGCTGTGCAATTCAATGTTATTTAAAACTTGTTTCCCAACTGGCTAACCTTCCCTTTTCTGATTATTGAGTGAGGCCCCTGGCCAGGGTGGTGGGCAGTGCAGGCCCCAGGGAGGGCTGCCCTTCCCTCACTCCTGCAAAGGTGTCCCCTGGGTAGATGGGAACCCGCTCGGCTCACTTTCCTTCCTCTCAACCAGCCTGTGAGCTTCCAGAGGTCAGAGGCTTTGCTGCGAGGAGCACGCAGGACACTTTGCTTGCACGGTCCCGTTGCATTTCCCACCAGAACCTCACACAGTGGACGGTGGATGTGAGAGTGGAGGAAACGTCCCCTCGTACAGGGGCGGAAACCTGGGCTTAGTGGTTTCTTTGTCTTGGTGTGCCTTGGATTCCCCTCACAGTGCCCTGCGAATACTGAGACCATCTCTGGTGCCTGGTTACACAAACTGCCTTTCCCTAAGTGGTCACATAGGATTTATCGGCTAACCCAGGGGTGTCCGTCCTGCAGCCCCACGGGCCTGCATGTTGACTTGGTGAGGTCTCTTTTTGCTTATCTCTGTTGTTGCACATCATGAAGAGGAAACACATTCTTTTTGTTCGTTTGTTTTTGTTAATCAGTTGCATTGGTGTTTGTGTGTTTGATGTGTGGCCCAAGACAACTCCTCTTCTTCCAGTGTGGCAGAGGAAAAAATGTTGGCCACCCCTACTAAGCTGATATTGTAAAACCTTCTGCAAAGGATGAAATATCTTCAGTACAACCACTGTCACAGCTCTGTGCCTACTTTGTTTTCTTTGAGATTTTGCTTCATTAGTGAAGGGTCTATATCAAAATAATAGAAACCCAAAGCAAAACCTGCCCATAACCCTTTCACTAAATCTCGACAATTTTACTTGTGAGTGTCACCTGTTAGATCCTGTCTGCCTGTGTGTTCAGTTTCCACAGGGAGACAAGACAGCTCACATGTTCCCATCACACCAGCTGCTCCAGGCCCTGTGCTCCAGCCCGTTCCCCTCACATCTCGTCACGTTTCTTTCTGATTCCTGCTTCCCTTCCCTGTCATCACGCTAATTTTTGTCGCCTATGAGTTCAAGAGCAGGGGAAGGTGTGGAAGGTCACACTTGCTTCTCAGCTGGTGGAAAAGGCATTCCTTTTTGAGTAAATCAGCCTTTCCCCCTAGGATCTCAATGACGTGCCACCATCAACAGTGGTTTCATCAGACCGAGCACGCTCCACTCTGGGGACTCCGGTGAGTTGTGGGGGTCGCTCCCTTCTGCGGCCATGTCACTAAGGACTGACAGTTGGTTCTCTCGAGAGCAGGGGCCCTTCTTGAAGGTTCTGTGATGCAGTTAGAATGAACACACGGTCAATGACAATCGGAGAAGTGGGGCTTCTCCCACTCTGCCATCTTTCTATCTGTCCAACTTACTGTTATTATTGTTAGTGGCTGTTGCATTAGGAGTTTTTGTTTGATGGTCCTGATCAAATAGGACACATTTAGATGCCCACAATTAGATATATTTTCCTGTGTCCATCTAAGGGCACCAGAGGTAATCTATGAGGTTAAGATCCCATGAATTTCACGCTGACCATGTTCTAGCTGAGTGATTTCACACTTTTTGCTAAACGGAGCCCTGAATTCCCCACTCTACATAGAAATTCCAGAACTATTGCTTTGCTTTGTAAAATGATTTTTCTGAAGTACTTTTAGATTCACAGAAGGTGCAAAGTAGCCTGGAGGGTTCCCACGACCCCTTCCCCGCTTCCTCCAAGGGTGGAAACCGACATGGCACGACACTGCATTAACCTGTGTTAAAGTATCAGATACAGACCTTAGCTGAACTTCACCACTTTAACTAGCTATGATTTTTAACAAAAGTTAACTTTTCAGACATACCGTTAAAATGGGTATTCATGGTCCACAGAGCCATGATATCCTATCCAATTTTTATGAGAGGAAGCTTCTGAAAATGAGTTCAAGATCCCTGGGAATGTGTTATCTTTGCTCGGCCCGCATCTGAGCAAAGACAAAAACGCGGGTCTGTTCTTTGCACGACGACGAAGCCACAAACCCATGGGAGGGCTCGGGCACCGAGGGGCATGTCCTTGGGCCCTGGCGGCCAGTTTCCTGGATGTGGATCCCGTGCTGTGGCCTGGCCCTGAGCGTAGAGGAGCCCGTGCTAGTGGGTGCTCCACTGTTACTTCCCTGACAGTCTCAATATTGGGACAAGGTGCCCACATTTTCTTCCTGCCCGGGCCCTGACAGTCACGTAGCTGGGCCTGGGTCTTGGGAGTGGGTGCGTATCATTCACAGATGTTGAGGCCATAGTCACGGCAGAGAGGACGTGAATCGGGTGTTTGTGGACCCACGATGGAGGCTGTGGACCCACCATTCTCCTGCTCCTTCTCTCTAGGCAGCCATAAAACCCACCCATGAGCTCTACCATGTGTATCTATGCTGCTCTCTCTAGAAGTGCCACTTCTTTTATACGGAAACAAAAAGCAACATGACTGTAAGGATTTCTAGTTATGTCTTTTCATCCTTTGGTATTTTATGTGAAACCAGTAAACGCTGTATCCCTCTTAAATTTAAGGGTCGTGGCGTCCTGTTTGAACCAAGAGAAATGAAAACCAGATACTCTGCTCTGGTAAGTACCGATGTGGGTGTTACCAAGAAAAAGATCACCTTACTGTTCTGTTGAATAGCTGCAGAAAGCCTGGAAACTGGAAACTTGGAAGGGAAGAGGTAGTATGAAATATGGCCCAGATCCAAAGCAACTAACTGAGAAGTGACCATGGGGCAGGTTGGAGGTGGCAAAGGCTCGTCTCCCTGGTTCTTCAGACCCGGGCACAGTCCCTTGTGTGACGAACTCAGGCATAGGCTGAATATCTTCTGCTTCTTCACAGATGTGTAGAAGTTTTGAGCTGAGGAGTCTGAGAGATCATCCAGTCCACTTTCCCCCCTAAATATTTTTAGCAGCAGAATTCCTCTTTCCAAATGAGATTCTACATGGCCAGGCATGGTGGCTCACACCTGTAATCCCAGCACTCTGGGAGGCTGAGGCACGGGATTGCTGGAGCTCACAAGTTCCGAGACCAACCTGAGCAAGAGCGAGACCCTGTCTCTAAAACACCCCTGCTGGGCGTTTTGGTGGGCACCTGTAATCCCAGCTACTTGGGAGACTGAGGCAAGAGAATCACTTGAGCCCAAGAGTTTGAAGTTGCTGTGAGCTGTGATGCTACAGCACTCTACCAAGGGTGAAAAAAAGAGACTCTGCTTTAAAAAAAAGATTCTACAGAGAACTCTAGTATAAATAAGACAGGGTCTATACATCTGTGAAGAAGTGACATTTTTCTGCTAGTTTGGTTTGCATTCACATTACAACATAAGCCTGTTATCAAAAACTACCAATATTTGTGATTGAATGCAGTTGGATATTGTGGATAGAGTTTGCAAAATGATGTTATTGCACCATCTAATTCATTGTCTCACATTTTCTAATTGGTTTTTAAAGTATGGAGAGAAGTTTGTTATATACCAACAAGGAATTTCAAATAGTAACAATTTTTAAGTAGCTCAATTTATAATATTAGGATTCTCTTTGATTAATCAAATGTGGGACAAAAAGCTTCATTCACGTTTCATAAAAGCAAATTAACAGTGCCCCAATTGACATATTGGGATGGGGGAGCTCAACAAGATCTAATCCATTTTTGTTATCTTATAAAATAGTATTAAATATCACTGAAATAATTTGTAAATAATTAAAATTTAGATACTGAAGCATCTTTGAGGAGTTGTAGACCCTGGGGACACAGTCTGAAACCAATATCTGTGTCCAGAGAGACTCTGAGAAGGGGAATAACACTCTCTTGGCCATGGTGGAGCCACATGTGGCCTGCTCCAGGCAAAACCACCTGAGTCTGCATTGGAAGGAGCCCAGGCTAAAGGCTGGTCTGCCTCTTCCTCCACCCCGGAGCGAGCTACCACGTACGGCCAGCAAGCCCCTGGTCAGAGAGCACTCAGGGGCGTCCACACAGCCCCTCACAGGCTGCACGTGCTTATCAGTGGTGGCAGAAATCACAGAAGTTATGCATGGGACTGTTTCTACTCCTCAGCTTTCATTAGTTTTGTGTATTTAATGTGTGTCCCAAGACAACTCTTAGATAAGCATTTATAGCCAGCCCTGCACCATGGTTGGACATTCCAGGAGAGTCTGTATCTTAAAGTCTTCCTAAGGAGAGGCCCAAGGAGACCAAACAGGGAGGGTGAGCAAGGTCACAGGATCTCCACTCCGGTGCTCCCAGTGCTGAGAGCCCGGCAGGCAGGGTCCCTGGGGCTGTTTGTAGTGGTTCATGCCTCGAATCTTTTGCTAAGTGTGTTCAGTTCCGTTTACTGTGGTGTGATGTGGTTTCTCTTTGTGTGCACACACACGTATGAACAGGTGTGTGTTGCTTAACACACATTCTGACACACGTGTCCCTGGGATGCTCCCTGCGGTGTGAGCAGCATGGGGTGCACTTACACAGACCTGGTATGGAGAACTTGGACCTTGAGGGATTAAAACAGGATGGTGACCTGGGCACATCTAAACCCAGCTGGCACAGCTGCTGCACCCTCAGCTACGGGGCACAGCCTGTCGCTCCTGACCCACAGCCCAGTGCAGAGTGGGACTGTACTAGCACTGCAGGCAGCTGTGCCAGCGTGGCAGGTGTTTGTGTGTCTGGACGTACCTAAACACAGAAGAAGTGTAGCTAAAATAGGGTGCCATGACCCTACGGGCCCACCAGCTGCCGTCTGCCAGGGCTTGAAACATCACGAGGTGCATGACCTTAGGTGTGCTCGTGTATTTAGACAGATGTGCGCAGACCCCTGGTTCTCGAACTGTGGGGGTGCCCTTATGTGCAGGATTTTTCCCACCTCTGCCACTCCTGAGACAGCAAGAGCACCGCCCCCCTCCTCTTCAGCCGACTGAGCGTGGAGACGATGAGGGAGGAGACCTTCATGACGACCCACTGCCAGGGAATGAAGAGTCCCGGGGTGCCTCTTCCTCGCGACTTTCCTAGTGATATCGCCTCTTCTCTAGCTTACTGTGTCGCAGGAATACGGTACATGACACACACCATGCACAACAGCAGCGTGTTAGTAGCTACGCTTGGGGGGGAGTCCAAAGTTCTAGCTGGAGTTCTGACTGTGCAGGGTCAGTGCCTCTGATCCTCGTGTAGTTCCAGGTCAACTATACACACATATGTGTGTAGTGTGTGTGAGTATGTGTATGTGCACACCCATCTACACGTCTCTAGGTGTGTCTGCATACACATGTGCATGCCTGTCTGCTTGTGCACATATACCCTCATCACATGCACGCCTGTTTGTGTGCACATATACCCTCATCGCTTGCCTGCCTGTCTGTGTGTGCGTATACCCTCATCACGTGCCTGCCTGTCTGTGTGTGCATATACCCTCATTGTGTGCCTGCCTGTCTGTGTGTGCACATATACCCTCATCGCGTGCCTGCTTGTCTCTGTGCACGTATACCCTCATCACGTGCCTGCCTGTCTGCGTGTGCGCGTATACCCTCATCGCGTGCCTGCCTGTCTGTCTGCGTGTGCGCGTATACCCTCATCACGTGCCTGCCTGTCTGCGTGTGCGCGTATACCCTCATCGCATGCCTGCCTGTCTGTGTGTGCATATACCCTCATCGCGTGCCTGCCTGTCTGTGTGTGCGTATACCCTCATCGCGTGCCTGCCTGTCTGTGTGTGCGTATACCCTCATCGCGTGCCTGCCTGTCTGTGTGTGCGTATACCCTCATCACGTGCCTGCCTGTCTGCGTGTGTGCATATACCCTCATCGCGTGCCTGCCTGTCTGTGTGTGCGTATACCCTCATCGCGTGCCTGCCTGTCTGTGTGTGCGTATACTATACCCTCATCACGTGCCTGCCTGTCTGTGTGTGCGTATACCCTCATCACGTGCCTGCCTGTCTGTGTGTGCGTATACCCTCATTGTGTGCCTGCCTGTCTGTGTGCGCGTATACCCTCATCGCGTGCCTGCCTGTCTGTGTGTGCATATACCCTCATTGTGTGCCTGCCTGTCTGCGTGTGCATATACCCTCATTGCGTGCCTGCCTGTGTGTGTGTGCATATACCCTCATCGCGTGCCTGCCTGTCTGTGTGCGCGTATGCCCTCATTGAGTGCACGCTTGTCTGTGTGTGCACGTATACCCTCATGGACAGATAAAACTGGCTGAGATTTTATCATTTTTTACATGTGTCTTCTAGAATCCAGGGAGTTTCTCTAAACCCAGGAAAGGTCAGAAATCAACTGAGCCATAAAGGCCACCAGCTATTAAATACACAAATTGAATCATGTCACTTTCCAGTTTAAAAATTCCTGACAGCTTGCCATTATACCTAGGATAAAGTCTGCATCTATCCCCGACCTTAAGGTCCCCTGAGCCCCTCTGTTGTCTGGCCTCTGTCCTTGCCCCAGCCTCTCTGCTCCACACACACACAGTTCCCTCCTGTCCAGGGCCTCTGCTGTTCCCTCTGCCTAGAATCCTCCTGGAAAGGCTTCTCAGCCCTGTGGGGAGAGGGCCCCTCTTGTATCTTCCTTTGCTGAGCCCCTAGGCTCCAGGGGCTCCTCCTTCCTTGGAAGTGTGTTTCAACCCAGGCATTGGAGGTACCGGGTCTGTCTCTGGGAACCCACAGGGCCTCCCCCCACCCCTGGGACACAAAGAGATGAAACATGAGCATGTTGCCTTGACCTGGCTCCTTACCTCAGAGGGGGCTGAGCTGAGTTTGCCCCTGCCCCGTGCTGGGGGCAGTGGCACAGGGGTGGCGGTGGTGAGAATGGCCAGGGGTTATTTCCTCAGGGTGCTAGGGCTCTACTGGTTTGCTCTGCAGGTCTGCCCAGGTGGCGTGGTGCCCAGGCGACTCTTGGCCCCAGTGGAAGGAAAGATAGCAGAGACACTGCGGCAGGTAGGGAAGGTGCTCCTCGTCCTGTGGGTGGGCTGCTGGCTTTGTGTCACCATTGTGCTCCAGGCTTGACCTGGGACTCTGCCTCCTAAATCACCATATTAGCTCAGGCTGCCATAGAAAAGTACTGTAGACTGAGTGGTTAATCAACAGAAATGTATTGTCTCAGGATTCTGGAAGCTGCAAGTCTGAGACCAGGGCGCCTGTGTGGTCAGGTTCTGGGGCCAGCTCTCTGTCTGACTTGCAGCCTTCCTGGTATGTCTTCACATGGTGAGGGAGAGAAAGACCAAGCTCCCAAGCTCTGTGGTGTCTCTCCTTATTGGGGCACTAATCCCATCATGAGGACCCACCCTCATGACCTCTTCTGAACATAATTTTCTCCCAAAAGCTCCACCTCCAAATGCCATCACATTAGGCAGGGTTAGGGTTTCAATACAATAATGGGGTGGGAGGAGTCCATCAATGGACACAGTTGAGTCCATAGCAATCACTTTCATGGGAATCCTCCTTCCAGGGTTGATTTCAGGACCCAACTCAAGACAGAATGAAAGGCCTTTGCTGCAAAATAGTGAAAGCTGAGGTACACCCTGCTTAAGGGGCTATTGGGTAAGACTGATGTCAGACATACCCTAGAAGGTTCCTCAGCACGGCCACCCTCTTTGCTGGGCAAGAGCTGGGCAAACCTCTGGGTGGGTTTATGGGAGGAGCCAAGCAGTCCCCATGTCAAGTCTGGGGGGCGGGGGGCTCTGCATGCCCCTGCCTGGAATGGGCTGCACAGGAGTGGCTACGCCATCCTAAGGAGCTCCAGGGGACTCAGACCCACAAAGTAATAAGCACAAAAGGAGCGTGTAAGAGTAGCAGTCTGGCAGCTGGGGTGCTTTAGTTGACAAACACGTATAATGCTCACTTTTTCCCAGACTCTGCTCTGAGTGCTTGAAAGACAGGTGTTAACTCTCAGGCCTTAGCCTGCGGGGACAGGGACCATCACATTCCTTTCTACAAAATGACAAAACTTGGGAAGGAAGATGTTCAGTAACGAGCTGAGCTCCGACCTGTAGAGAGTGGACAATGTGGGGCTCCCAGGAAGGCAGCTGGGGCCCGGGCCTGCACATGCGAGTGCTCTATGCCCAGGCCCAGGCCCCAGGTGCTCATCAGAACCTCCGCTTTGAGGTCCTGGTGATGTGCCCGGGCATTCCTTCCTCTGGCCGTCAGGGTGGATGACAGTCAGGGTTGCAGGCTCTGAGGCCCAATGCAGTGAGCCCAGACAGAGTCAGGGTGTGGAGTCACTGCCTGCTGTCTCCCCAGGGTCAGCATCCCCTGGTTTCTGTCACAGTCCCCAGAGTGGAGCTCCAGCTCCTCACCTTAGTGACAGCCCTGAGCCTGCCAGTGGCCTGGCCCCTCCTGGCTCCTGCTCTGGGGTCCTGCAGAATGGGGGACACATGGTGGCTATTTCCAAGTCTAGAAGCTGTGCTAGAATTGGGCTACCTAGGCTCCTGTGGTCAGGCTGTGTACCCACGGGGTTAGGGCTGCAGGACACCTTGCTGGGCCCCGGTCATTGGAGAGGAAGACCAGGAATGGGCCACAGAGATGTATCCATACATCTCTCCCGAGCAGAGGGTGACCTCCGTGAAGGCAGGGCTGTGCTGTTACTGGTACAGGACACTTGGTCACTGAAGAAGGAATGGATGAAAGAACTTTTTTTCACTATAGTTTGAGGAGGTAGACAGATCTGTAAGTGGAGGCTCAGAGAAGTTGTCTCAAGTGGTAAAGCTGGCAGGGGAGGGGCAGAGCTGGGGCTCAGGTTGGCCAACTCCAGACGGGCCACCTGAACACTGAGCAGTACCAGGGACTCTTCTCTTGGGCCCTAAATGTTCATCTGTGAGGTGGGGCAGGGAGGACGAAGACATGCACAGAGGAGATCACGTTGCTACTTGAGTGCAGCATGTGGCAATTACGACATGGCCCCTGGCTCCCCCATCACAGTGCACACACAGAGCTCACACGAAGTGCGGCATGTGGCAATTACGACACGGCCCCTGGCTTCCCCATCACAGTGCACACACAGAGCTCACACGAAGTGCAGTGTGTGGATGAGGCTGGGTCCTGCCCAGTGGTGGCAGGAGAAGGCTGCATGGCCGCCTGGAACCACCCTCCATCCCCTGTCAGGTAGGCAGCTTTATTCAGGAAAGCTGAGAACTCTGTGCTTGGTGTGAGAGGAAAAGGCAGATTAGGAGGCCCAGCTCTTTCCCTCCTGAACCCTCTGACTTAGTTGGTGGTTTAAGATGAATTATTGATATGCAGCTTCTGCTGAATTGGGTTACAGAGACCCACTGCTCTGCTGCCCACCAGGCGAGGGTGGGTTGAGTCCAGGCAGCCCAGACCCCACGGCAGAGTCTGCACAGCTCTGCACATGCTAATTATCCAGGCAGCTTCACTGCAGGATGTGCCAGGACTTCCAATGCCTTGGCTGGGGCTGCATGCTCGCTTGTTAGCGGCAGGAGCCTCCTTTGCCCCCCAGCTAAGCACCCCTATGTCATGCAGTCATGTGGTCATCTGCTGACTGCAGTCCCCAAGTATGCAGACCCGTGCTGTGGGCAGGTGGCAGGTGTACAGGTAAGTGGTCCTACAGTTGCCTGGAGCTCCCAGCCTGATGCATCTTGAACACTAAACAGAAGGCCCAGGAAGGGCTCCTGCTGTGAACCAGGGGGAGGTGGGGACAATAGTTGTCAGAGCCAGTGGGTGTTGCTGGGAGCTGGGACCCAAGTGGTCCGATCAGAACAAGGACAGGCATGGAGGTCCTCCCACCCCACTGCACTCTCCAGGCCTCCTCTACCCCCCCACCCCCCACTTTGGGTTCTGAGCCCTCAGATGCCAACAGTCTTCACGTTGGAGGGGAGCTCACCTCTCAGGAATCAGCTAGTGATGGGTTAGGGGGTCCTGCTAGACCCACTCCCTCCAGGGTTGGTGGGACCCTCTTAGGGATGCCAGGAGTAGGTAGGCTAAAGCTGTCCTCCCTCCCTCCCTGCCTTCAGCAACACACTTACAGAGTCCCTCAGAGTGGAACAACCCAGAAAAGTCTTCAGAGAGGTATCACAGGCGCTGAATGATGAGCTGGAGGTGCTGAGTGGAGTTTGGCAGGTGGGGACAACTTTCACAGAGAAGGGGACTTCAGGTGCAGCAGCAGGAGGAGAGCATGGAGGGGACATGAGACATGGGGTAGAAGACTGGCCCAACCAGGAGACAGGGCTGGCACCTGTGGGGCTGGAGTGTTGCTGGGTTTTGGAGGCTAAGAACTGCTCCTGAGGGCTTTAGGCAGAGAGATAGAATGACAGGTCTGAGGCCCAGAAATAGTCTCTGGTGCTTAAATGTGTATAGGGGGAGGGGTAGCAGGAGAGGTTGGGTTGGTGAAGGCATCAGAGGGGCTTCACGCAAAGACCTTGCATCTCTGGCTGATATCATAGTTCAGTGTGGGTGTCCAGGAGCCTTCCAAGTCGGAAGCAGGGCCCAGGCCCCTTTCACCTTGTGGCTCTGCCACCATCAGAACCTGGAACCATGGCTGGAGGATGTGACAGAGAGAGAGCAGAAGCTCTCGGGAGGGCCCTACAGGCCAGGCAATGTCTGACGTCCAATCTTCTTCAGCTTTACTTGGTCACAGGCACACTTCTTACTGCCAGGAGGGAAATGTGACCTTGCTGGTGCCCAGGAAGAGTGAGAAATGAGCTTGGTTAGCTCTGAGCTGCCCTGCCTGATGCTGGAGATGAGGACTTGTCCTAAGGCTTTGGCTGTGGGGCTGGAGAAGAGGGGACAGGCAGGTGACCAGGAGTGCACCAGCATCTGGGGAGAGAGGAAGGGACAACCTGGGGTTTTAAGCCTGAGCACCAGGGCTTTGGGGCTGTCATCACATGAGCTGGGCTAGAGGTTTTCAGACGTTAGTCTTTCTCTTCCTGCTGTCAGTGCTCTGCCTTGACCCACTCTCTGTTACTTCCTGAATTCCTTTCTACAAGCCAGCTCACATTTTGATGAACATTTCACTTTATTGTCAGCTGAGCAGGGGTGTTTGTGAGATGATGGCATCAACATGCTTGTCATTGTGTTTTAAAATGTATGTTAAAATGATGATATGTTCAAATAAGTATGTGTCCCGATGCCATCTAAACCATCTAACATGGTAGGGGCCAGAAAGCCTCTTGCCAAGGGTTAAGATAATGACTGCAGGACTGGGGCTGTTGGGAAGGTCAGCCCTGCCTTTTTGGGCACGAAAGCAGCCCAGACAACAGCAGGTCAAGGCCTCAGAACTCACAGCAACAGGTGGTGGCCAGGTTTGTAACAGGCTGTAACAGGGTCTGCGCAATTCCCTGGGGGACCCCAAGGATGGGGAAGCAGGTTGGGGGAGAATGAAGAATTTCAGGGATCTTGAGTCTGAGGCCCCTGTGGGGCTGCCCAGTGGTGGAACTGCCCAATGGTTGGTTGGGATTCTGGCTCTGCATGTGACCACTGGGAGCATCCCAGGTGGTGATAATGGTTGGGACATTGCCATGGGTCAGGGCACAGAGGGAGCCACGGCTGGTGCATTCATCTGGGAAACCAGAGAGCAGGGAATTGAGACGTGATGGAGTTGGAAGGGTGCAGGGAGCAGGACCAGCCCTTCTAGGAAGGGGGAGGGAAGCATGAGCAGAGTGGACAGACAGCCCCAAGCATGTCTGTGGGTCTGCAAGAAAGGGCCAAGGGGAAGGGACATGGCAAAGATGCAGAAAAGAGGGGAAAGCCGCCCAAACATGGATCCCAGGGAGTCGCAGGCCAGGAGGTGTCCAGGGCAGAGGAAGAGGGGACCCCAAAGAGTGGACCTGCGAGAGGGGGCCCCCTGCCCTAGTGCTGGGACATCTACCACTGAAATTGTCAGAGTCCCTTCCTAGAAATTAGCTGGAAACTGAGGGGGTCTCGTTCTCTCAGAGTGAGTTTGACTGTCTGTGTCTCTGAGTCTAGACACTCCTGTGACAGCAGGGACTTGGGGACTGTCCAGGCTCCTCAAATCACCCCTATATTCACCATCTTTCTCTGGCTTCTCCCCAGAAGCTCCATGAAATTGACGAGCTAGAGGAGGACAGCAGCCACCTGCCCCATGTCTACCTGGCAGAGGGAGCGAGTGAAGGGGCCCAGTCATCGCTCAGCTCTCTGTTCTCGGAACCGGAGCTGCGTCCCGACCTGCTGAATGGTTTGAGCCCAAAGGCCACTCTTCTGGCACAGCTGTACTCTGAGTGCTCGTCCCCTAGAAATGCACATTCTGGAGAATTAAAGCCATCCATGTAGGGGAGTCACTAGCCACTATTCAGAGCTTCTTCTCTGGCCTTGTTCTTTTTTTTTTTTTTTTTTGAGACAGAGCCTCAAGCTGTCCCCCTGGGCAGAGTGCCGTGGCATTACAGCTCACAGCAACCTCCAACTCCCGGGCTCAAGCGAGTCTCCTGCCTCCGCCTCCCAAGTAGCTGGGACCACAGGCGCCCGCCACAACGCCCAGCCATTTCTTGGTTGCAGCCGTCATTGTTGTTTGGCGGGTCCAGGCTGGGGATTCGAACCCGCCACCTTAGGTGTACGTGGCTGGCGCCTTAGCCGGTTGAGCTACAGGCGCCGAGCCCTTGTTCTTTTTTATATGACTTCCTAGTCCTAGGATGAGGATGAACTGTTAGCCTGGTTTAAAAGCTTTGATAGTCTCAAACTGGCCACACACATTATCCTTTATTAAAATTTGGAGGGAACTCACCTAATGTGCATGATGCAACAGTTCATTTCAAAACTATTAAGAAAAGAATATAATTGTCTGACCACAACAAGTAAGTACGAGAGGTGATGGATGTGTTAATCAGTTCAGCTCAATGTCCGCATTTCACAATGTATATCAAATCAGTACAGTACACCAAACCCCATAAATGCATCAATGTACGCAGTTACGAATTAATAAAAAAAAATAAAATTTCATTGGTCAAATTTTCTAAACCTGAATTTATTGGGTCACTCTTTGCTTCCATTAGCAGCCTAGCTCTGAGGGTAAATGAAAATGTAATCTGTAGGTTACGCAGCTATTTGGTAACGGTAGGTCAGACTGGTGAAAAGAAAAATAGATATTCAAGGGTTATTTCCATTCTATGATTATGAGTCTGCCTCAGTTGAAGTGAAAAAAAAATAGGTGGACAGGGAAACATTTTCTAGAGCATTCATAATCAGTATTTTCAGTGATTTTTTTAAAAACTGCTGGTCCCTTTTCATTTTTTGATCAGATACATAAAGTATATTATCTTGAGAGAAATGATCATTTTATAACTTTATAAGCAGCACACACTTTTTAAAAAGGTAAGAACTGACTTAATTTATGTAAGAGAATTTAGGAGCCTTTCACTGAATAAGTTCTGATTAGATTTTTACCTTTCAACAAAACCACAAAGTTTAATTGGTTTTTACTTGTCCACTTACTGCTAATGCAAATTGCAAGGAGGGGATGGTCTTTTTAAAAATATTAAATTTTTTCAGATAGTAGGACCTGTACCCTGTAAATTGTTTTCTTGTCTGAGTAATAGACAATGACTAAGCAGAGTTTAGCATGCGACCAGGACACTTGAATGCAGGTGTTTGATATCTGAAAGTCTGAAGCAATGTTTTCAACCTTTTCATCTCACAGTTTACTCAAACCTATTGTTAAACTTCTGTGGCACACTGAAATTATGATGATCCAAAAAAGGAGTAAAAAAAAAAAAAAGAATATACTTACTGTGCTTTGAACTTCTTTCAAAAATAATTTAATTATTGATCTTTAAAAATTTTCACAGCACACCTCTCAACGGCACACCGGTTGAAAATCACTGGTCTACAGCCAAATCTAAAATGTTAATATGAGTAATGAGTGTTAGCTTTGCTGAATGCCCACTTAAGAGCCCGAGGACAAATCAAGAGAAACATGTATTTGCTGTTAGATTGACAGTGAGTTTTAGCTCAGAGTTAAAGCTTCTCCCTTCTTTCTGAAGAAGCTGCATCTCTAGACATCATTCATGCTCTAGAGCTTTGGGTAACCAACAAGGAAGAGAAGCCGTACCCAAAGCATTGGGATATCTAAATCTGACATCCAATTATATAGAATAGCTGAGCTAACTGGGGTGCTTCAGCGCAGAATCTAAGACATTTTCTGGGTAATTCAGCATGTTTAGAAAAACATACGTTTAAGTCTGAATTGTTGGCAGGGGCAGTAGGTGGTTAGACCTTTCAGATTCACTGGGGGGCAAATCTCACCCACCATCCATTCTTGTAAATAAAGTTTTATTGGCACACAGCCTTGCTCATTTGTTTAGGAATTTTCTGCAGCCCTTTTTTGTGTTCCAGCTGCTGAACTGAGTATTGCCACAGAGACTGCATGGCCCCCCTTCATGGAAGAAGTGCGTTTAACCCCTTCTCTGGGGTGTTCTTTTTGGGAGCGCCACCTCCCATCACACACGAGTATCCACAAGCTGCAGTAAAAGTAAACACATTGCCCCACATTTGAAAGCTTTTAGGTAAGTTTGCTTTGGGCTGTGGTAACTCATTTAACTACTACTGGTTAGGAAATCTTACCTGTTATTGTGCTTATTTGAGAATTCTTGCCTTATAAGATACTTTTCCAATAATATTAAAAAAAAAACTGATAAAATAGTCATGAAATATTCATAAACACCAAATTTAACATTTTAGGAGAACAAAATGTTATATTTTGTAGCTGTTTAATTAGACATTCATTGATTTTGACTTTGTTAGGGGGTTTTCTGGGTATATTTTGAAGCTAACAATTTTTTTTTCAGATCACTTTAATAGACCTTGGGCCTTGGGGATATAGTGTCCAGTGGACACAGTGGCCGTTGGCATCTTCAGGAAGCTCCCTGGTGCTCGATGCTTCAGCCTCTGCCTGCAGATGTGAGCGTCTATCATGTAGTATCACCTTCTTCTGCATACTGGCTGGCTCCCCACAAGTCCTTTCTCAAGTCTGTCTCGGTGCTTTAAAAAGGTTTCCACTAAAATATCAGTATCAGGAGATTTTGGTGAACCTTGTGAGCCTCGAATGGAATTCACATATACTCATGAATTAAACCAGTTCTTACTAATGGCAATAAAGGGGCAATAAAACAGAAGTAGTTAATATTTTCAGGGAAAATGTGATTGCATTAAGATGATTAACCTCCAAATTACTTAGCCATCCAGAGATCGCTTTAGTTCTCAGTAGTTAAATGTTCACTTTGCATTTCATCAGTTTTCCCGTGCAACTGCGATCTCACTGGTGCTACAGAGCTTTTCATCTGAGACGTCGTTTGTTTCGTTTACTTGTACGATTTACTAAACACGGAATATATCTCAGTTGTTAAACCTTTCCTTTTCCCAAGTGAAACACACCGACCAGGCAGACCTCGCTTTCTGTCCCCATGGAGTAGACATAATGATAGTCCCCTCAAAGGTGACCTGTCGCAGCCAGCGAAGAATCGGGACAGTGCCAGGCAGAGGATGTTCTGAGATTGTTCCCCTGCATCAGAGACATTTCCTGTGTGGCAGAGAGTGCAAAGCTTGTCAAGGTTTTGCCTCCTCTGCAGTGTGTGTGTCTGGGGCCAAAAAAATCTACCATGAAGAAAGAGAAGGATAAAGAGTTCTAGAGCTATAAAAGCATTGTCCTGTAACTTTTCCCAATACAAACACACTAGTACTGAAATCTGATGTGTGAGGCTGCAGAGACTGCTGATGGGTCAGACATGTGTCACCTCTTCTTCCTCTGTAAAAGAACACTGAATTTTTACAGTGCAAACCAGATTCCAACATTTCTCACCCCACATTGCATGTGGGTAAGGGCATGCATCTAAATTCTAGTCAATGAGAGTTGACTTCGAGGAAGTGACCTTGAAGGATGGAGATGTGTCTGTCTCCTTCCACTCTTCTCCTGGGAGTGAGGCTGTGATGGCTGGAGCTGGGGCAGCCATCCTGTAAGTTGCTGTCAGAGTTGATACATGGTATAGAAAGAGGTTAGAGGGATATCGGTCCCTGACCCCAGGGAGTGCCTCTCCATCCCTGGACCATCTTAGATGCAAAATAAGGGAGAATTAAACCAAATCTAATCTTTAATTATACCAAATACAGAACCAAGGGAAGAGAGCTTCACTTAGCACAATTTAAGCTTGTAGCACTGGCTTCATGGTTGTGTTCAGGGGGCAGAGACTCAAATATTGTGGGCTAGAGAACGGGCAACCCTTGTTATACAAAAACAAAGCATTTGCAAAACAAAGTCCCCTGTTGTTTTTTTGAAAAGCTGCCCATGTCCTGAATAAGAATTAAGGTAGGAAATGGCAGGAGAAATCCATAATACAGAAAAGTATTAGCGGCTTCTCCCTGCTTCTAGCAACCTTCCATGAGAGAGAGATGGACTTTGGCTATCGCTGGCCAGTTCGCGAGTGAGGAGAGGAAAGGCAGCTGTGCTAATGGACACTCCCTGCCTGTGGTCTGCGACCTAAACTGGAGAGAGCTCGGTAATTTGAGCTTTGCAGGGAAAGCACCTGCTGCGTTGCTAAACTACATCAGTCATAGAAATGGTTTCTACAGTGAGGCAGACTTGGCAGAAAATAAAACTGGTGCTGCCGTCCACCAATTTGGAACTTTGCATCAAAATCCATTTTAAGGGTGTTGCCTTTCAGCCAAGCCCTGTTACCCTCGACACCTCAAGGTGGGCGCCGTTAGGCTGTGGGAGAGGCAGTGCTGGCACAGCCTGGGAGTCCCCGAGGAAGGGGCCAGAATCTTCAGTGATATAAGCTGTGTCCCTGCAGGCAGAGCTCAGTGGCAGCAAATAGATGTAAATGTCTATGTTTTTGAAAAAACAAAATGGTTTTGCTAAAGAAACCACAGGCTGGTCTGCAAAGGGCTGTGATTGTTCACCCCTGAAGCATCCTTGGAATCATGACCTAAGAAGGAAGAAGCAAACTGCAAAAACTGCCCGGCCCATGAAGGGCAGCCCCTGTGAGGCAGCGTCTCGGGTGGCAGTGGGGAGGAAGTGGGAGGACCTTCCCAGAACACAGGGTTGGGACCACACAGCTGGCACTGCCCTGCCCACTGGGATTTGCTCATGTGTCTGGCTGGTGGTGACTGTTTGTTGCCTCCAACTT